TCCCACGGACGCCAAGGCATTTCACCGAACAGGAAAACCGCGTAAAATGCCCCTATTTGCACTAAAATTGGGGCAAAGCAATAACATTCTCCATTTTTGTCTTACCTAATTGGCCTGTAAAGGTACAAAAATGTTCCATACAATGGGGGTACTCCCAGCAGAGGGGTGTCGCTTCCGGTGTCAGAGGCTGTGTGTTTGCACGGTCCAGGATGGGAATTGCTGCTTTTTGCATTGAAACGGCCGGCGATTATTTAGACTCGTTCTGTTGTATGACTGCAACATCGAAATTTGATGTCCCAGTCTGTCTCCATCTGCTTCTCCTGCTGTGTTTCACAACTATGTGGTCACACAGCTAATGTATTCTTTACACCATACACCATAAACCATAAACCCTTACCTTTGCACATAAAAATGTTTATGATAACTCGGGTACAACACAAGCAGGCCCTATAAAGATAAGATGTCTGCACTTTACTGCAGTCTGTGTTCTACTTAAAGCAGGAAATAAAGAAAAAAATGGGTTGTGATGTCTTCCTTTATCTTCACTGGTCCAGAATTTTATATTCTCCCCGGTGGCAACTGGAGTCACCAAAGGGCACCTGAGCGAGACAAGTTTTTAGGCCTCCCAGTCAACTGCAGGCCAAGCAAAAACAAATTTGATTGACAAACAGAGATGAGCCTATTTATAGAAAAAAAGTTCCATTAAACTATTCATGCTGAAAACCTTCACAGGCTTCAAAAAGCAGTTTTTATTTTGGCCAACAATGTGTTGGTTGTCCCAGTAACGTGTTTATCCTTCAAGGCAAACTGAACTGAGTGGACTAGTATGAGGGGGGTCGGTTGAAGGTAATTTTGATTGACAGCATACTCTGTACCAGCCAAGGCTGCAGTGACTGGTTGAAGCTGGGTGGGGACGATTATAGACAATTGGATCTTTTACTTTGATTTGATATCTATCACTTTTGAGATGGGAGGCCACCATATACTTTGCAGACTATGTGACATCTATGGGGCCAGGGGGGCTCACGGGTCCCTGTGCTGTCTAGGTTCACGGTGATTTGTGAACAATGGGGGATTGGAGGGGTGCTTGAGCTTGGGTAAGGTGGTTGGTCGTAGGTATGCTCATAGGATTCTACGCTTAACTTTTTGCTGCGGCCTGTTCTTCCCCCCCCGGCTATAGAATTTCCCTTCCCCATTTTCTAGTACCTGGTCTTCCTATCTGAAGCTGCACCAGTCATGTACAATATTTGTGACTATTGTCTCCCAAATAATACACTTTAACATTTATTTGAAGATAAAACCTGCCTCGTCTGTTCCTCTTTAAATGTGGCTTTACTAAGATTCTTACATGCTGCCCAAACCCTGTACAATATTTGTGGTTACTGTCTCTCAGATAATGCACTCTGTTTATTTCAAGATAAAACATGCCTTGCCTCTCCCTCTTTTATATTGTGGCCTAACCAAGCTGCTTACATACTGCCCAGCCACTGAACAATATTTGTGACTTTTGTCTCTCAGAAATTGCACTCTAATGTTTATTTCAAGATAAACCCTGCCTTGTCTCTCCTTCTTATATTTTGGTCTAACCAAGCTGTTTGTTTTCCAGATAATACTTCTGTGGTATTTCCAGATACTCACATATTTATTTATTTCACAAACTTTTTCATTGGGTTTTTCATATACACAAAAGAGACCATACACACAATAGAACATTTGACATTCGGACGAATTTTCCGAAATTCGGACATACGGACACAACCGAATTTCTGAATCCCAATGCACCCGAATGCATCCAAATCCGAATTTCGTTCAAAAACTAAACTGAATCGAGCATGTGACTTTTCTGGCCGATCAGATGTGTTTTTTGGTTTAATGCATCCGAAGGGGTCTGAACACAATTTTTCGTTACGGCAATGGTGCCGTAACGAAAATTTGTGTTCAGTATATTCATACAATACTAAAGCTGAGGCTCCCAGACCCAAATGGCATTCAGGATCCAAATTTCCGAATGCCATTCGGGTCCGGGAGCCATATACATATTGTCACGATTAGGGCCCTGGAGCACCAGGAATCGTAAACTCTGGGTCTTGCTGAGCAGTATATAGGGACTGTATTAGGAATGGGCAGAAATACGGGTCTCTAAAGATGCAGGGACAGTGTGACCGCACAACAAACGCAGGTGTGCCAGAGTTGCAGCATCTAAGGAACCACCTGGTCTTCCCCAGGGCCACTGATGGTGTGGATGTTGAGCTGTGGGGCAGCTCCCAGGTTGCGGCTCTCCGACACACCTGTGCAGGCACAGTGCGTGGGTACTCCGGGACCACAGCACACGGGACAAGACAAAGGGTGCACACAGGATAAAAGATACAGAAAACATGAACTAGAGGGAAGACGCAGGGAATATGCGTGGCACAGGGAGCAGGTAACAGAAGGGAACACACCACAGGTGTACCCACAGAGACAAGAAATACAAATACACACAGGAACAGCCGAGGGGAACGCACAAGAGAAAAGAGGGAGGTGCACGATAGTGCAGAGCACACTAACCACAGGAAGCAGGAGCAGGAGGCAACCACAAACAGAGCAGGGAGCAATGCTGTGGAGGGAACACACAGCCACAGCAAACAAAAGAGATACACGGACAGAAAACAGAGGGAATGAAAGAGCACAGCAGGAAGGGAACACTGAAACCAACAAGAGCAAACAAAGATGGCTGCTAGCGTGGAGACACGTTGCTCGAACGCTAAGGTTCAGGGCGGACTGACAGGAAGCCGAGCAGCTCGGACAGGAGGCAAAGCGCGGCGCCGGATCAATGTACAAGGCACTGTGACACATATATTACTAAAGCTGAGGCCCCCAGACCTGAATGGCCTTCAGGAGCTTCCTAATGCAATTCGGAAATTCGGATCCTGAATGCCATTCGGGTCTAGGAGATTCAGCTTTAGTATTAATATCTGTATATGGATTTCTGTGGTATTCGCAACGAATATTCGTAAACTCATCAGAACGAAATTCCGATTTCGTCCGAATTCGAAACCCCCGAACCTAACTGAATTTACAGATCTGAATCCCGAAATATCTGAAACGGACCACATTTTTCAGCAGCTTGCATGTCTAATATGTGTTTTATTATTCTGGGCTTTGTGTATGATTATTGTGAACAAAATATTATTGTTCTATAGAAATGTTCAATAGGAATGTTCTATAGGAATAATAACTTAACACTAAACGCTAAACAAATTACAATATACAGTATGCAGATGATAAAGCTGTCAATTTTACACTCCATATCGTATAATAAATGAGGAGACCAGATTTGCTTTCTATGAATGGAAAGTTGTCACAAGATAGATAGATAGATAGATAATAGATAGATAGATAGATAGATAGATAGATAGATAGATAGATAGATAGACAGACAGACAGACAGATAGATAGATAGATAGATAGATAGATAGATAATAGATAGATAGACAGATAGATAGTTAGACAGATAGATAGATAGATAGACAGACAGACCAGCCCCTGCTGCAGCTTCTCACCTTATGACTTCCTTCATAGTTACAATGTTGATCGGGAAGTGCTATTACTGGATTTACAAAAAATGTTGTAGTCTGATCACTTGGGGGAGAGGAGACTTAAGAAATGTTTCCACCTGCCTGCAGCTGACTGACAACATAATTTGAGCCTAGTCAAATTCACCGGACTGGAGCTCAAGGATGCGCTATAATGATAAACGTTGGAGCTTTTTACAAAAATGATACTGTTGCTGTATATTGTGACACATCAGTAGTGTTTTTAGTATTAATATCTGTATATGGATTTCTGTGGTATTCGCAACGAATATTCGTAAACTCATCAGAACGAAATTCCGATTTCGTCCGAATTCGAAACCCCCGAACCTAACTGAATTTACAGATCTGAATCCCGAAATATCTGAAACGGACCACATTTTTCAGCAGCTTGCATGTCTAATATGTGTTTTATTATTCTGGGCTTTGTGTATGATTATTGTGAACAAAATATTATTGTTCTATAGAAATGTTCAATAGGAATGTTCTATAGGAATAATAACTTAACACTAAACGCTAAACAAATTACAATATACAGTATGCAGATGATAAAGCTGTCAATTTTACACTCCATATCGTATAATAAATGAGGAGACCAGATTTGCTTTCTATGAATGGAAAGTTGTCACAAGATAGATAGATAGATAGATAATAGATAGATAGATAGATAGATAGATAGATAGATAGATAGATAGATAGACAGACAGACAGACAGATAGATAGATAGATAGATAGATAGATAGATAATAGATAGATAGACAGATAGATAGTTAGACAGATAGATAGATAGATAGACAGACAGACCAGCCCCTGCTGCAGCTTCTCACCTTATGACTTCCTTCATAGTTACAATGTTGATCGGGAAGTGCTATTACTGGATTTACAAAAAATGTTGTAGTCTGATCACTTGGGGGAGAGGAGACTTAAGAAATGTTTCCACCTGCCTGCAGCTGACTGACAACATAATTTGAGCCTAGTCAAATTCACCGGACTGGAGCTCAAGGATGCGCTATAATGATAAACGTTGGAGCTTTTTACAAAAATGATACTGTTGCTGTATATTGTGACACATCAGTAGTGTATCCAGGCACCCCTTAAATCTACTGAAATGCCCACTTTAAGGGAAAAAGGGTGCATATGATAAACCTTTTCCTTTAGAATACTTATCATACAAGATAGATAGATAGATAGATAGATAGATAGATAGATAGATAGATAGATAGATAGATAGATAGATAGAATGCGCTTTAATGATAAACATTGGAGCTTTTTTGAAAAATAATACTGTTGCTTGGTATTGTGACACGTCAGGAATGTATCCATGTGCACTTTTAATCAAAAATATTGGCATTTCAGTCCTTAAACTGCAATAACCACTGTAAGGACCGGAGACACTCAGCCTATATTTTGAGGTCTCAACAGCTTTTATTAACAAGCAAAGCTGAACACCAGGCTCATAATACTGTCAAACGTGTGGCCGGAAGGGTGAACGATCGTCGAGCCGACCGCCACCGTCATGTCCCAGGCGTCCACAAAACCAACATTGATGCCCTGGAAGACCTCCTGGAGCACCAGGTACTGGGTGTAGCCATGGAAGTCCCCCTGCATTTCCACCGGAGAGTGCAGTTCTCGCGTGTTTTCCGACTTGATGATGACTTTGGTGTCCGGGCTGCGGTGGAAGAGGCGCTCTATCGCTCGGCGAATGTTCAACGCCCGCTTGATGAAAATCTTGATAGGGAAGTGTCTAAAGTGCTGTCCCAAGGTTATAACAAATATGGTGTCCTTTCCGCCAGCACGCTGGTCGATCTGCCGGCTGGTGTACATGTCTTCCTTGAAGTAGTAGAAGCTTGGATGTTCCAGGGGGAAGCCGTGTCTCTTGTAGGAGACGTAAATGTCCTTCTCCATGTTCATGGCTTCCAGGGCCAAATGCCAACCGGCCCACCCTGACCAGTGGTAACGGAAATATTTCACGACTGCAGGAAGCAAACACAAGTGTTAGTGGCTGACGAGACTCCAAGCAAACAGCGTAAATGGTATCTATGGTCAAAACTACAAATGAATCTGTATTTCTATATTGAATCTCCGTAAGTTCCACATCCATCTCGAAGTTTATAGACATGTGCAATTGGTGTCGTTCTGATTTGAAATTCGTATGCATTTCAGTAAATTCGGACATTTGGATGCATCTGAATTTCCGAATGACAGAAATAACGAATCTGAAGGAATCCGAATGTTTGATAACGAAATTCGAATAAATGTTAATTTCATTCGGAAACAAAACACAACAAGCGGGAGAGCTGTGGGCGGAGCAATAGCCATTCTGTTATTGGGTATTGCAATTTAAAATAGTCAATAACAGAATGGCTATTGCTCCTGCAGAGGAGCGGACCTGAAAGATAAAGTTCTCTCTCAGGTCCGCTCCTCTGTGACTGACATCAGGCAGGGGGCGGAGCATTAGCCAGCCTGCTATTGGGTATTTCAATTTAAAAAATAGCCAGTAGCAGGCTTTGTTTATTTCTGCCCACTGCCCGATGTAACCATTGCATCGGGAAGTTTTTTGGGGGTTTTTTTCGATTGTCGGCTGACGCTGGTATGACTTTGTGGGACATTTTTACATTTATTTTAAATAAAGAAATTGTCAAAAAGTTGTGTTTTGCTTTTTGGTTCCATTAAAGGATTTTTTTCCAAGGTGTTGTGTGTTTACTTATATTTTATATAACCCTTTAGTGAATGGGTAGGGGTACAAGTACCCATTACTCATTCACAAGGGGGGGTGGCATTTGTGTGCCCCCTTTATGAAAGGGGGTAAGCAGATGCAGATTAGCCCCCCGCCTACAGGGTTGTGGGGAAGAGGCCCCCATCGGCAGGGGGACAATGTGCTTTTCCAGGGGGTCCACCCCCCAAAGCACCCCCCCCAATGCCAAGGGCATGTTGCCTGGTGTGGTGGAGGGAGGGCCCCCCCCTTTCCTGCCCTGCCAGGCTGCTGCCCAGATTAAGGGTCTGGTATGTGATATTAGGGGGTACCCCATTTTCTTTGTCACTTTTCTGGCTTTTGGGGTTACCCTTTAAAATCCCTACCAGACCTAAAGGATTTGGTTTGAATTGCCGGGAAAGCGCACTGTGTTTTTTTTTTAACATCAGGGGTCCCCTATAACATACCTACCAGACTTAAAGGGTCTGGTATGAATTGGGGGGGGGGGGGGGCCTGT